GGAGGACTGGGGTTTCATGAACTCCACATTTTCAACCAATCCTTGATTTCAAAGCAACTTTTGAGGCTGACATCTCAACCACACCTACTTGTAAGCAGATTATTGAAAGGGAAATACTTCCCAAAGGACAGCTTTTTCTGTGCAAAAAAGAAAAACAGCTGCTCTTGGTTGTGGTCAAGTTGGTGGAGCATGAAGGATACATTCATGAAGGGCATTAGATACCAGATTAAGAATGGCAGATCAGTGCACATCTGGAACCATCCATGGATTCCACAACTACATGGGTTCAGACCAACCGGAAAATTGCCTCGGAACTCGGATCCTAACTGGGTATGGGAACTGATTGATGATACAGGGAGGAGGTGGAACAGAGAGCTGCTGGAGCAAGTGTTCACAGAGGAGGAAACATCAGCCATTATAAAGATAGAAGGACTGGATCCATATAGCACAGATCAGCTCAAGTGGGAATGGAGTACTAATGGGAAACATTCAGTGGCCTCTACATATTCAAATCTTATAGAATCTCACTGGAGGAATATGGATGTCGCAGGATCCAGTGCAAACCAATTAGGGCTCAAAAAAGCTAGAATGAGGGACACCATAAGCTTCAAAAACTGGTGGACACAAATATGCTCTCTGAACCAGAACCCAGTTGCAGAGGCTAGGATCCAATTGACAAGCTACTTACTATGGTGGATGTGGAAAACGAGGAACCTTTGGATGTTTGAGAGCACAAGGAGGTCTGAGCTGCATACTGTGAATCTTGCTAAGCAAGATTGGTCTGAATTCTCCCTTTGTACAGGTGTCTGGTAGATAGGTTCTTTTTAGTCTTAGTTCCCTCTTTTTCGTTGTTGTGGTTAGGTTTTGTTAATTTACTAGGTCCCAGGTGGGTGCAGTGGCAAGTTAATTTTGCTGCCTATATCGGTTGTTTCTATTCTGTTAGGTTCGGAGTCTGGTCATCACTTATGGATCTCAAAGATCCTCTTTGCTGTGAGTGAGTCCCTTCTCTTAGGTTTATTTAGAAGCTGGTGCTTCTCAGTTGTAATGGCTATGGCCTAAAACTTCATTGCTTTTTGCGTATAAAATTTGCCGTTTTGAAAAAAAAAAAAAAACAAAAAAACTAAATAGAGTCCTATTTGGATTCATATAAAACATAGTGGGCTTATCTAGGGACGCAACTAAAAACAAAATTTGATCAAAAAAAGAAAAAAGATAGAGAAAAAATATTTGAGACACTCGAGATGGATAATGTTTCCCTAGTAATTGATGGGTCTACTTTAATTTTAAATAATTATATATGTATTGTTCAACACACTTTGTAATAGCAACTTGCATATTATAGTATAATTTACGCACTTTTATTTCTAATATAAAAAAAGAAAAGAAAAGAAGAGAAAAACAATCTTCAATCTAAACCGCGTATGGAATTTATTAAAAAGGAAGAATTGAAAACTTTGAAAGAAACACATGCAGTTTTCAACCAAAATCTACTAAACAACAATACATGCATTCATCGTCGAATATTAATGATACTATTATACGTACAAAACACGGGTCTTAATATAAATAATTACTTTTAATATTATTTAATTTAATATTTATTTATCAATCATTAAAGGATATATTTGTTTGGGTATTATCAACGACCCAAAAGATTTAAAACTATTAACTTGAGACTTGAATTATATTAGTGAGACGCAAAAGATGAAGCTATTATTAATTTGGGGTTCGATATATATAATCTATCAATTTGGGATCAAAATTATTTAAAAATCACTTGAAATCTTTAAAAGATAAAATAATGTGTTGCATTTTTTAATTTATTGACACGTGACATACAAAAATTTTCTCATATTTGTCATATCGTTTTAAGTTTTATTTATGTTTTTTTTATGTATATTTTGTGATAGTTTAAAATATTTCGAGTCCTTAATTAATAAATTTAATTGTTGAGACATATAATTTATAATTTATTATCTTTCATATTTCAAATGGATATAAATTATAATTGGTAGTTGACTCATCTTTCAAGACAGAACTCATGACATTCGATTATTTTTTAATAAATTTTCTAATCTAATACATTATAAAGATTATGATTTTCATCCTTGAGTTAATTATTTAAATACTGAAAGTCTGAAATGACGATCCGGTAATTTATTGTTTTTAACTAATCCATTTTGATGTTTTAAATTATTATATCCACCCCTTTTATATTACTATTATAAATATATAGTTCATATATATATATATATAGGGATTGGTTCCAATGCATCCCATTATTTAAAGTGAGGACGTGAGACTCATTCCTAGCCACAAGATTTAGATCTTGATTTAAATAATAATTTTTTATTTTTATTATTTAATTCTTTATTTTTAATTATTTAAATATTATTATGACCATTGACCGTTGCCTCCGGCGTTGACCGTTGACTTCCGGCGTTGACCATTGACTCCGGTGTTGACTTCCGACGTTGACCGTTGACCATTTGTCTTTTCTTATGTTATTTCTTTCTTGCTAGGTTAGTTATGTCTTGTTGCTAGGTTAGTTGTTTGTTGTTGCTAGGTTAGTTATTTGTAGCTGCTAGGTTAGTTGAGTTTTGTTGCTAGGTTAGTTGTCTTTTGTTGCTAGGTTATTTTTTTCTTGCTGCTAGGTTAGTTGTCTTTTGTTGCTAGTTTGAGAAAAATAACTTACGATTAAAGAAAGGAATCCAATGTCAAATCCAAGTGCATCCAAATCCAAAGCAAGAAATAGGAGTTGTCAATCTCCCAAAACAATTCAAAAATGCGAAAGAAAGAAAAAGGAATAGGTTTTTCTCCAGAGAGAACGTAAAAACAAAGTCTGAATGTGTAATCCTTAACCTAGCAACTACAGATTTACAGGTTTTTCGAGGAGCGGGATTTTTAAATCTGTAGTTGCTAGGTTAATTGTCTTTTGTTGCTAGGTTAGTTGTCTTTTGTTGCTAGGTTAGTTCTTTCTTGCTGCTAGGTTAGTTGTCTGATGCTGAGGTCAGTTCTTTCTCGCTGCTAGGTTAGTTGTCTTTTGTTGCTAGGTTAGTTGTCTGATGCTGCTAGGTTAGTTGTCTTTTGTTGCTATATTATAGCTTTCTTGCTGCTAGGTTAGTTGTCTTTTGTTGCTAGGTTAGTTGTGTTTGTTGCTAGTTTAGTTGTTCTTTCTTGCTGCTAAGTTAGTTGTGTTTTGTTGCTAGGTTAGTTGTCTGATGTTGCTAAGTTAGTTGTATTTTTTTTTATAAAAAAATTGTAACCCATAGGATTTGAACCTAGTACCTCATGGAGGCAAGACAAGCAATGCAACCACTACACAAGCAATGCAACCACTACACCACTCAAGGTTGAGTGTCTTTTGTTGCTAGGTTATTTATTTCAATACAACGGATCAACGGCGGAAGTCTACGGTCAACGCCGGAAGTCAACGTCGGAAGTCAACGGTCAACGCCGGAGTCAACTAATAATTATTTTATTATTTAATTAATGTATATTTTAATTGATTTTGATCTAGACAAAATGAGTGGCTAAGATTAAGTCTCACGTACTCATTTTAAGGAGTGGTCTCATTGGATCCATCCCATATATATATATATGTACCGGTCGATATTATTGGTAAAACTAGGGGTGTATTTGTTTGACACTTTGAGCAATGCTTTAAATACTGGTATGTACCGGTCGATATTATTGGTAATACCAGATACCGGTGGTCCAACCGATATGATTATCTTCTAAAATCGTTTTGGCTAAAATACTGGTTAAAATACTGGCTATAACGGATAAAAGAATATTTTTATAACATATTTTTATATTACATTTATATAAATATAAAGTTTTACACTACTTAATTTTAATATGTTTAAATAGTTATTAAATTTTAGTTAATTTTATTATTAATTATAGTTATTTTTATACATTATTTATATTATAATAATAGATTAATTTAATGTTTAATAATACCAGTAAAGTAGATGGTAAAACCGATTGATCCGCGTATCAGTGACTCGTCCGGTATGATCACCGGTACGGTATTTAAGACATTGATTTCGAGTGACATTTTGAGAAATTTTGAGGTTTGAGACATTTTAAGATTTTTAGATTTTAGAAGAATCATGTGAAATCTTAAATTTGGAGAATTTCTATAAGGTATTTTCCTTAGACATTCCAACATATCTTAATGAGGAAGGTCCGACTTGAAGATTCTCTTAAGTCGGCTCCTGGACGCATGAGGACCAAGAATCAATAAAATATTATCACTTGTCAGTTAATGATTGCTGATGAGACGCGCCTCCATAGCCTGTCAACCTAGAATGTCTAGTCCGACATAAAGGTCTGTCAGCATTAAATGCTCTACAAGAGAACATCTAATGTCTGACAGGTAATGATTATAGAAACCTCAAATCGCATTTAATATCTATCAAAGCGGCGCGGACCTGTCCTTTCAGAGTTACTGTACGATGAGACAGGATGAACAGTGCGTGAACACTACCAAGCTGGTGAACTACTATAAATATGCAACCCATTTCATTTATGAGGATTGTTGAATCCTCCAACTACTACATTCTCTCTCTACAATTACTCAATCCACTCTGTAAAAACATTCGAAGCACAATTAAGGTGCCGACCTGAATACCAGAGGTCAACCTCGTAATTAATATAAATAACCTTCTTTTCTCGTATATCGTCATTATTTCTTACTTTTCTCATAATCAAAACTTTATCTAACCGTTGATCACATCCGTCTATCGACAAGACTTTTTAAAAATACCTCATAATTTTTAAGTTTTAAAAAATCTAAATTAAATTATAAATACTACAAGATGTCTAAAGTATTAAGAAGTGGAGGAATTAGAAGCTCTAAAAATTTAAAATATCCTTTAAAAAAATTAAAAAGAAATAGAAAAAAGAAAATTGCCCGGTGGTGGACCCCACAAAGAAGCCGTAGTCCATCCCTTCCCTGCAAAAAAGTGCCGCTTTTCAACGTCTCTTTGATCGTCTCTCTCACACACTCTTTCCGCTCTGCAACAAACTCTGGATTTTATTCAAACCCGAAAAACCAAAAAAGATATTATATCCCAATTGTTCAAATAAATACCCTCAGCGCTACAAGTATAAAAGCTTCAATCATTCATCATCCGCTCACGTTTTACACCATTCAGCAGCGCACGATAAACATCACGCTCTGCAACCATATATAGCAGGAAAAAAGAAAAAAAAAGGCTCATAAAACTTGAGGTTTTATTAGGGAGGGGCCATTGAGGATTTGCTTTATTGGTAAAGCAATTCCCACAATTCACGTGCCCCATCCCAACGGAAATTCATTATTTATAAGCTCTTCCAGGGATCCTTTTCTCTTTTAAATTCCGCACGCCAGGGCTTAGCTTTTTTTTTTCTTTATTTTTTTCTATAAGTGCGTGTGACCACGCGGTCCAGCACTCGCATTCGTCGGAGTTTTTGGAGATGGGATCGATGTGGGCTTTGACGGCCGCTGTGGTGGTGGTGGTCGGGTTAGCGTTAGGCAGTGGCTATGGCTTCCCGGAGGAGGATTTGGTGGATAGATTGCCGGGTCAGCCGCCGGTGAATTTCAGGCAGTTTGCTGGGTATGTCGATGTGGATGTGAAGAGAGGGAGGAGCTTGTTTTACTACTTTGTGGAGGCTGCTGAGGAGCCCCATCTCAAGCCCCTCACTTTATGGCTCAATGGAGGTGAAACTTTTTCTTTCTTTTTTGTGTTCTTTGGAGTTTCAAATTTTATCTGGGCTAGTGAACTGGAATTTTAGTCTAATTTAGCTGTTAGTGATGGCTTATATAGGTCCGTATTGATTGGGTTTGTTTGTCTTGTGTTGTTGATGGTTTTTAAAACATTATAGCTTTGTTGAGTAGGGATATTGTGAATAACAATAAGTTTGTACTTTTTAGCTGTTCTGTAGATTGTGCCTTTCCAGGCAGGGAATGTATTGTTCGTATTAGTAGAGCACATATTTTATTGAAATTTGGGCCAATTGTTGGGGTTCACTGTTGAACTTTACTTGGATATATATAGCACCTGGTGAAAGAGAAAAAAATGGTAGTATGAAAATGAGAAAGAAAAGGGGAGGCTCCTTTTTCATTCAGTTGTGATCAAGATTGAATATTGCTTATATTGTTTTGAAAGCTTTTGTTTTTTCACTGTGCTCAGGGCCCGGTTGTTCATCTATTGGGGGAGGTGCCTTCACTGAGTTAGGTCCCTTCTTTCCTAAAGGTGATGGAAGAGGTCTCCGAGTGAATTCGAAATCATGGAACAAAGGTGAACAAAAATTAGTGGTTTTCTAAAGCCAAATTTGTTCGATATGCTTAGATTGTCATTCAGTCAGTCAATTTTAGTATTTCACTCTTTCTTTCTCTCTATTCGTATCCGTTTGCTCAAAAGTTATGTTTCTTGATCGTGTAGCGTCGAATCTTCTCTTTGTGGAGTCGCCAGCAGGGGTAGGATGGTCGTATTCAAATACGAGCTCAGACTACACTTGTGGCGATGCATCCACAGGTAACAAAGTCAGCTCAAAAGAACTCTTAGTTGTTGTTCAGCTTTTACTATTTATCCAATTGATTTGGTGAAGTTTTCATGTGTTATGATGTGCTGGTAATTAGAAATCATTAGTCTACTCTATGAATTAACATATACAAGACAGTGTTTGTACGGATTTAGAGTAGGTTCCGGTAACTGAAGCTAGATTTTTTCGTTTTATTTTATGGCAGCAAGCGATATGTACAAGTTCATGTTGGGGTGGTACAAGAAGTTTCCTTTATTCAGGGCCAGAGATTTGTTTTTGACAGGAGAAAGTTATGCAGGTAAGGACACTATTCGTAGGAATTTGTGACATTTGTCTCCGTTATTCCTTTGTAATATTTTTTTATTTTTTAAGAAAAAAGGTTCATTAATACATCCTGTTTGTGT